TGCTGGACGGAGAAGTTTGAACGAGCGACAGTGCACTGGTGGAAGAATGAAACCAGAATCAAGATCAGAATCTTCCTGAATAAATCTCAAGGATCTCTGAAAAGTGACACTAATAACTGTTCATCTCTGAGTTTTCCAAATATAAGAAGAAGTGATTCTGGAAGATACATCTGCAGAGTGTTTATGGAGATACCATACTGTGTGTTCATCAAAGGCCGTGGTACATTGATCACAGTTATGGACTTAGAGAGCAGTGATTATGTCGACTCAGATCACCACAATGCTGATGGTAGGTGACTAAAACACAAGAGGCCTCACATACAAGCTGTTGCAGTGATGGATCGTCTCATGTTGTAACTGGTTTGGCAAGCTATGGAGGCTAAACCAGTTTGTATTAATGATCATACATTTTTATTTAGAAGAGCTGCACATGAAACACTCATTAAAACCCAGAGTAATTTTACATAATAGACTCCTGATCGTTTGCCTGATTTTGTTTCAGGGTTCGAGCAGTTTCCATAAAATATATCATGAGCAAAAAACAGTCGTCAGATTACCCGTCTCTGTGGATGAATTTCAGATGCTCCCCTGGCAGAAGTGTACATTTACATCCTGAGGTGCCTGCCCATCCTCATCCTCATCACGCCCCACTGCTGCCTCTTCTTCTATTTAAGGAAGAAAGCTCAGCAGAACACACCAGGTAACTAGAACTCTCACTTAACTCCACTGTGATGATCACATCTCTNCGTGGTTTGTGGTTGAGGGGCTTCCTGTTTAGTCCTCGCATCAAACTGACAGTCCAAAGCTGAGCACCAGGCCACTTCTGTTCATGTTCACCTTTACTCCAGAATGTGTGACGAGTTTTGTGTTTTTGAACATAAAATGCCAAATTTTAGCGAGGGTAGATTATTACTAAAATTCTGTTTAAACAGCAGTGAAGTAGTGACCTGTCAGTCACAAGTTAGTCCCACACTTTACTCTAAATGGGACCATAATTTAACAACTGAATATCATGGTGAAATAATGGAGGATTGATGGATTGAAACTAGTGATTGAGACCATGAACGCATTAAGAAAATGTTTACTGAGGTTACAAATCGATTGAAAAGGAAGTTATTTTCTCATAAACTCATATAAAATCAGGCTTCTCTTTGCAACCAGAGGAGTCGCCACCTGCTGGTTGTTTGCAAGAATGCAGTTTGAGGACATTTCAATGTTGGCTTTTCAGATCCAGAAGCTACGTTCATCCTTTATATACAGTCAAAGGGACAAACAACAGAAAAAAAATGGAGTGGAAGAAAACACAGGGAACAGAATCTAATCATCTAATCTGCTGAAGAAACTAATCCAGTTTTGGTTTTTGACACATTTGAAGGTCTGCTTGACAAATTAAACAAAATGTTGTTACCCAGGGTTGCACAGAACAAAAAAAGAAAATGGCAGAGCTGGCTTCAAGTCATCTGAAAGGGAAGGAAGAGAGGTTGCGGTTTTCAACCTTTGTTTGAAGTCACCCCTAGATGTAGGTGTGTTGACTGTGAGAAACTCTTAAAAGGCTCAAGTATTAACCCTTAGCAGTGAATCTATTTAAAATGATGGAGCTTCTACTGAGCAGTTTGCTACTGATGTCTCTCTGTGTCCACTCATGTTGGGGTAAGTACAAGAGTAGTCATTATATTTTAAGTAGTTCCACTTTACAGCTGCAGAATTGTGTGCTTTTAATATTAATATTACAATTTGAATTTCAACAAAGCCAAATATGTATTTTTGGGGGGAATCAGAAAAGACTGTTCAAGCTGTGACGGATTTTAGAATTTAAGCTAAACAACATTTCCTAGTCGATGTTTTGATCTCGCCAACATTAACACAGAGGAGCTCAACAGATGAACGTGCCTCTAAATGAATTCTAGCGTTGCCTGGAAGTGGAACAATCATGGCTGGGAATCGATGAATGTCTCTTGAAACTGTTACAGAATATTTAAAGACTAAACCATGACATTAGAATTTGTGTCTCTGAGCTAATGTTGTAGGCTTCAACTGAACATGTGCGAGGGAGATATTGATTATAGTAAGGGGTTTATTTCATGATTTGCACAAACATGTTTCCAAAATTTAGCATTTAGACTTGAAACTCTAATATTTGTCATAGCCACTGGTGTCTGTTTGTTGAAATTTGTGCTCAGAATTTCTGAAAGATTTTTAAATTATTGCATTTATTGATGGCGTCAGAGGGTAAATGCCGTCGGCCTCCAATGATCAAACAAGTAATGCATGTAGAACACTTGAATATTAATTTCCTCATTATATATGTGTTCTAAAGATGTCGTAAAACTAGAATTTAGACATTTTTATTTACATTTGAAACAAGCTGGTTTCAGTTTGTTGATCTGCTAAATCTGTAAAGACAAACAGAAATTGATAAATGTGTCTGACTTAAATTACTACATTACATTTACAGTATATCAGTGTCCACATAGCACAAATGTATTGTGTGTAAATGCAAAAAACATGCGTGTGTATGTTTTTATCTCCTGGTTTAGCGTCTGAAGTCATGATTCGTGATCATCAATTGATTTGGGATGTCTTACCATAAAAATTTTGCACCGTGTGTCTTTTCTCAGGTGTTTCATCGGGCACACTTGTTGTGATCCAGAGTCCGGATGTTTCTGTCATGGAGGGACAGACAGTAGACATCACCTGCTGCTGGACGGAGAAGTTTGAACGAGCGACAGTGCACTGGTGGAAGAATGAAACCAGAATCAAGATCAGAATCTTCCTGAATAAATCTCAAGGATCTCTGAAAAGTGACACTAATAACTGTTCATCTCTGAGTTTTCCAAATATAAGAAGAAGTGATTCTGGAAGATACATCTGCAGAGTGTTTATGGAGATACCATACTGTGTGTTCATCAAAGGCCGTGGTACATTGATCACAGTTATGGACTTAGAGAGCAGTGATTATGTCGACTCAGATCACCACAATGCTGATGGTAGGTGACTAAAACACAAGAGGCCTCACATACAAGCTGTTGCAGTGATGGATCGTCTCATGTTGTAACTGGTTTGGCAAGCTATGGAGGCTAAACCAGTTTGTATTAATGATCATACATTTTTATTTAGAAGAGCTGCACATGAAACACTCGTTAAAATCCAGAGTAATTTTACATAATAGACTCCTGATCGTTTGCCTGATTTTGTTTCAGGGTTCGAGCAGTTTCCATAAAATATATCATGAGCAAAAAACAGTCGTCAGATTACCCGTCTCTGTGGATGAATTTCAGATGCTCCCCTGGCAGAAGTGTACATTTACATCCTGAGGTGTCTGCCCATCCTCATCCTCATCACGCCCCACTGCTGCCTCTTCTTCTATTTCAGGAAGAAAGCTCAGCAGAACACACCAGGTAACTAGAACTCTCACTTAACTCCACTGTGATGATCACATCTCTTGACCATGCAGCAGCAGAGCACACTATGTTATCAGGAGCTCATTGATGTCACGTTTCAGCTTCTTCTAGAAATAATCCCAGATCGGTCCAAAGACAAGAGGAAGGCGAAGAAGCAGAAGAGAGTGTGACACAAGCAGCAAGAGATTAAGAAAACCATGAAATGTTGTGTGAATATATTGTCTAGAAGAAGATGCAAACTCTTATTACTTCCTTCCTTGCTCTAGAATGGACTCTTTAATGTTGTGGCTGAACAGTATAGATCCATCATATGCAAAATAATAATAAAACTAGAGAGTCCTTATTAGAGGGACATAGTTGCCCAGTGTATGCATGGTTACCTGATTCTGTGTTTCACTGTGCGCCTACTTGAAGATGAACTTGCATTGATTTTGCCTTAAAATGATACATAATGTAACAAGAGCTTAGTCTGTCATGTAACACAGATGTTTTGCATTCAGGGGAAGCGTTTTGATGTAATTTACACCTACGGATAAGCAGCTAAGATTTATGATTTTGACCTTTCACTCAAGGTCAAATGTCACATCACTAATATGGGTTCCTATCTGATTGTTATAAAATACTGTGTTTATCTTTTCTAAGTTATAATGGATTGAAAATTTGTGATGATTTAAGACCTTCAGTATGACCTTGACCTTTTCCCCAAGGTCATATATTACATCACCAGTTTATAGGCCTCGCATGTCTTCCTAAGTTAGTATATTAAACTTGTGTGTTTTTGTGCATTTTCAGTCATACAGAGCTGTCTTTGTCAGATCCGACCTTTGACCTCTGTAGCGGTCACCAATGCATGTACTGATCACTCAGAGAAGAGACCATACTGAGGTCATGTATGAAGTTTCAGGTTCAAACTCCTCTCCTGTAAAGCTCTAGACTGTTAATAGACAAAAAAAACCCCCCCAAAACACACACACACACACACACACACACACACACACACACACACACACAAGGGCGCTTACTCAATAATAAAACTATACTAAACCTCATCAATCTACAGATACTTCCCTGTTTCCTGCCATTTTTGAACATTATTGCATTCCATTGTTGTTGATGTTTTTTTGTTTTGTTTTGAAGCATATTTTGCACCCTTATCTACCCAGTTTAGCCATTTTTAAATGATTTTTTTAATCATTTAAAAAAGTAAATTTTGTTACAGTGTGGTTATATTCAGTGTTGTATCCCCTCTTTGCTGATGGTGTCATTTGTTGCTGCAAACTGCATAATTAATACAGGTCATTCTGGGGTTGTGTTGTTTCTCTCTCTCTCTCTCTCTCTCTCTCTCTCTCTCACACACACACACACACACACACACACACACATTAGATTAAACACATTAGACATTATATACACAACTGCATCCACAAAACTACATAGAACTGGGCACACATGGATATATGACATGGCGCCTAAATGGTGTCTTGCAAGTCCATCAATTGCTGTAAAGAGAATTCAAAGGTTAGCTGGGGAATTAGCAGCAGTGTGTGTTAGTCTGTTGTACATCACAGACAAAATGGTGAAGGGACCACGTCAGTGATGAGCTCGGAGACGGAAGATTTCGTGGTTTGTGGTTGAGGGGCTTCCTGTTTAGTCCTCGCATCAAACTGACAGTCCAAAGCTGAGCACCAGGCCACTTCTGTTCATGTTCACCTTT